CCCCCCATGCCCAAAGATGCAGTTGCGCTAGCTCTCAGCGAGATACCATTTTTCAGGCAAAGATTAAGAGCATCCTCAAGCTTCTCAACTCAAGCTGCTTTCTCCAGCCATCAGATCACTTCTGCAGCTCTTCTCTGCGCTCCTCCCACCTTCCTTTCAAAACAGGACCACCAGACTGGGACACAGGACTCCAGGGCTGGAGGATTAACAGAGGGCACGACAGAACACTGGGCTCACCTTATCCCTGGATGAGATTTACATCAAAAGGAGTGTGTTTACTTCAAAATACAGGAAAGGAAAGACATAAGATAAAGTAAGAACAGCACTACTAGGACCAAAACAAGCAGCATCCCCATTGTTCACCTCAGCACCTTACTCCCAAGACTCCTTCTCCTGACCTGGCGCCTTCCCCTGCTACCTGAATATGAAATTTCCTTCAAGGGGATCCTGCTCCTTCCTTCTAGTCTTCCGCCAGGAGTAAAAACCAAAAGACCCCTCCTATGCACAGTCCCAAGCTCCAGTCTCACTTACCTTCTGCTCAGGGAAGCTTCCTTGTCTCTTCTGCTTGGGTTCTGGGACATCACAAGACATTGAAAAACTGTGGTTTTTCCCTAGATGTGGAGCTGTCTTTCCCTGTGAAGTTCACACCAAGCCCAAACATGGCGCCATACTTACTGAAACCAGAAGCAACGCGCTTGACTGAGTGGAAGACCCCACCAGGCTCGTACGTGCACTTGGATTTAGAGGGTTGCTCCCAGGGAACAGTCACACTCACAGGACAAAACCAGGTTTTGTGGACAAAACCCATCTCCTATAGAACTACACTGGCTGATAACATTTTGTCCTTTTTTAAGTTACCCACTTAATGCCAGTTACAAACTTTCCCACTGTGTTTGCACTAGGCTGTCCTCGACTAAATAGGTTGCAGGTATCAAGGTCACCTGTCCTTTCCCATGCAGGCACAGTATCCCTAATTTCCCTGCAGTACAAATTCATCACAGTTTAACAGGGAACACCTCAGCCAGTTCTCTTCAGAGTTCCTGGGTGCTGATCCTCTCTGCCAGCAGATTTAGACATTTGCCCAGATCAGACATCGGTCAAATTTCCCCCAGAGCTCAGGCTCAGCCTCCCCCCCAAGACAGGCCTGTCACAGAGCCACAGAATCACAAAATGGCAGGGGTTGAAAGGGACCTCAGGAGACCATCCAGTCCAACCCTTCTGCTAAAGCAGGTTCTCCTAGAGCAGGTTGCACAGGACTTCATCCAGGCGGGCTTTGAATATCTCCAGATAAGAGGACTCTACAACCCCCCTGGGCAGCCTGTTCCAGTACTCTGCCACCCTCAAAGTAAGTTTTTCCTCATATTCAACTGAAACCACTGATGTTTCAGTTTGCACCCATTGCCCCTTGTCCTGTCGTTGGGCACCACTGTGAAGAGTCTGCGAGAGCTCCAGACATTCCTGCACCCATCCCTGCTTGCAAGCAGAGGCTGCCATGAGTCAGGCACAGGCACCAAAGCAGCTCCACCAGTCACAGTTTAGATTATAAATGTGGTGAGCCATGCTACTTCTCCAACCACAAGGAAAGCCCCAGTGCTTTCCATGCAGAAAGAGCTAAGGATGCACCCCACAAAGACCAGGTAGTATAGGAAGCAAGGGTTTCTACAATCTGTGTCTCTTCAGTAAAAACAGCTATGGACTTCCACCTCCTACTCAAAAGCAAAATCCAGGTTACGGCATGGTTTATCTATCTAGCTCCCTTGTGATCAGAAGCCCATATTCTTTCTCATCCCCTTCTTTGGGCAAGATAGGCTAGGTCACAAATAAAAGCAAACCCACCCTCCAAGGCAGCAGAAACTCAAAGAAAACCACACATCACAGCAATTACTAATTAAATTTTTATGTTTACAGTAGTCACTTCACAGGGATACCAAGGGTTTTTTTTTAAATCAGAATTCTGATGTTGGAGTTACTTTTATTGGGAAGACTAAAACTGCTGCTCTAAAATGTGATTACAAAGAAAAACAAAGTTGAGATCATAGTGTGCTTTAAAGGGAAGTTACATAGTTTAACTTGCATAGCACAAGCATATATAAGTAGTTGAGTTAACAGGTATTGATAAAGCCCATCTCAATTTGTGTTATTGCTTTTTTTCTTTTCAATCTGATCGACTGGTTGCTGGTCTCCGCTGGAAGCAAGGCAGGCTTATCGGCAGCTACTTGTCAGTAGTTTAATTTGGTTTAGCCAAGGAATAGTATACACCACAAAGTTGCAAGTGGTGTGCTAAGGAGAGAAAGAAAAAAGCAGTTATCAGATTAAGAGAATAAAACAGTGTCACTGATCATTGTTCTACACCAATGTACTACCCCACATGATCCAGAACACATGCCACTTCCCTGGCTCTCTAGATTTGCACTCTCCTGACAAGTACTCCAGAACACCACTCTTGTTAGTATCTGCTCAGGATCAATTACTTCTCTCAAACACTAACAGAGAAGCTGAGCAGTCGGCACTTCTGGAGATCACATTACCTCCTTCACCCACAGAAAAGCTGTCAGCATGGGTAACACTCCAATATAAACTCTCAGCACAGGTGAGCACGCATGCACAGCTAAAAAGGCAAAAGCTAAAGTACTCCTTTCAGAGCACTGCTGTTATAAAAAGCTCCTGTGCAACAGCTTGGTGGGCACAGAGAACAGGGGTGATGGGCCTCTTGTGATCAGTGCATAGTTCAAAGCACTATTCACAGTAATGTAAGTCCCCCAGGGGATTGTGTCAGGTCAAGCATGTTTACATCACCATGGGACAAGAAGAGCTGAGTGTGATACGGGGACTCAGGACACCTGACTGAGAGCCAGGAGACCTGTAGGCTTGGCAGAGCTTCCTCCACATATCCTTGTGATCCAGACAACAAGCACTTTAAGAGGATTGAGGCACACGGAGTCCTCCATGCACTACAGCCTCAGATCCCCACTTACAAAACAGGCTAAAAGGCCCTGCCTTCTCTGTCACCATCATCTGGCAAGACAAGTTCTACAAGGGCTGTGCCTTGTTAAGTGTGAGGGCATGAGGTCTCTGATTTAGGCTGGGGCAGACAGGGGATGCTGCCCATACCTCTCTGTATTAAGCCAGCCAGAGGGAAGCAACTGGAAACCCAAGGGGCTAGCATGCTGTGCTCTGGAGCCTACCTTAGCCATCTGCGGTGCTTCATGGAGAGCGCAGCTCTGGAGATCAGTTGCTGGCTTTGGGCAAGTTGTCCGGCCTATCTCAACTTCCATTATGTACTTGATTCCGGATACAATCTGCAACAAGACAAGCGGGCAGAAGCAGCTTTATCAGCAGTGTGTACAGAAGGGCTCTCTGACGAGAGAAGCCTAACAGAAAGGCAGACTGTTTTCTGGTTACATGATGGAAACCAGACTCCAGAAGTACAGAGGGGAATGCGCATGGCAACCTCCACAGATGAGGCACTTCCCTTCAAAAAGGGGAAACAAAATCCAAGTAAACAAGTCTCACAGTGCAGCTTCCTTAGCAGTAGACAGAGATGTGGTAACTCAGCAGCAGCTTAAGGAAATTACTTGCTCCTTCAATAACACTCAGCACTCAACGGTAGCCAGACTGACTGGCAAGAACCAGGCTATAAAAAAAGCTTTTGTTCGCCTTCTGTGGGAAAAAAAACCCCAGCTTGAACAACCCCTCAACCTTGAGATCTGCTCTTTTTCCACAGAAATCCCATAGGCCTCATATTCAGCTGCTCCCCGGAGGGTGCCAGGGCCGACCCTAACCCCAGCCCGGGGCCCCCCCGGCCACCACCGTTCACAAGCCCGCCCCGGCGAGGGGCCGGCCCGCCCGGGCACCCACCTGCCTCTTGGCGCTGATGACCCCCACCACCCGGCTGGGCGACGCG